CCCCCACTGGCCGCGGTTCGCTGTCCCGGGCCAATGGGGGCAGCGGGAAGCCGCGGCCAGAACATCCCTCGGCCTGCGCCGCTTCCCGCCGCCCCCATTGGCCTGGGACAGCGAACCGCGGCGAGTGGAGGCCGCAATCGGCCGAACCTGCCGCGTCAGCAGGTAAATAAACTGGCCCGGCCTGCTAGGGTGCTTACCCTGGCGAGCCGCGTGCCGAACGTTGCCGACCCCTGGGGTAGACCATGATAATATTGATAATTTTTAAGCATTTTTCTATTTTTATCAACTTAAATTTTCAATTCCACAAAAGCATGGGTTTTAAGCATCTTTATTTTTACCAATTTAAAATTTCACAGTTGCAGAAAATTTGGAGGGGGGGGGCGGCGTCAGACAGTAATTATTTAACAATGTTGAGATTAAAAAATTGAGACTTTATAACCATTAAAACACAAATTGTCAACATCACATTGTCAAAATATACAAAGTAAACATCCTTAAATCAAACTCTAATAGTTCTGAAGCAGCATGTTTCTTAATATGCTTATCTGTAAAGTTTGGTTGTTATTGATGGAAATATTTGTGGTGTGTGTGTGTGTGTGTGTGTGTGTACATACAGTGAAATCAACATTTACTAACCTTTATCAATAAAAATCTAATCCTTTCAAATCTACTCATGCTATAAACTTTTCCATATGAAAAAGTGTTGGAAGCTTATTGATCAGACTGCCGGTAGCTGGATCAATGCAAAGATAACCTGGAGCATAGAGATAAGCTTTGTCCCTCATCTGCAGGGAAGACTGACATGTCTCTGAGATCCGAGCACAAGTTATCAAATTGCAGTCCATCTGTATCTGAAAATATGACTAATCACATTAGAATGGGTGAAATTGCAATATTACAAAATAAATAGTTTTATTCATTATTTTTTTGAAGCTGATAATATTTAAAAGTATCAGTTTCTTTAGTATAATTTAGCTAGCATTGCTTCTAAAGAAATTATGGAAAGGTACAAGCTTTTCTTCATCGTGTGTGATTTTAGTCCTGCTGTGTAGTCTGTCATATAACCGAACGTTCATTAATCTGGTTTGGAAATGCATTGTGTGAACCATAGCCTCTAAACCGCTGTCGACTTTAATGATGATTGTGTCAAGTGTGGTCAGTACAAAGCCGGTATGTTTACCGCTCTATTCACTCCCTGGTTTTAGTAGAAAGTATTGCTTCAAAAGTCCGTGTTTGTTTATGATGTATTAAACTGCGGTGTATTAAAACAATGTTAAAATTACATATTTATCACCTTGAATTCTCAGGGGTTTTCTTGGTCCTGCTTCCAGGCTAGGGGGCTCTGAGGGAAGTGTGCGATCTAGGTATTTCAGCAGTCAGTGTGCAAAGATCCAGTTTAGAGCAAGATGGGATGAGTTGTGCCTCTCAGCCTTAGTGAGCAGTCTGTTTTCTCTCTCTCTCTCTTTCTCTCTCTCTGGTTCTTATGTGTTAAAGTTCTGGATTTGAAGAACTAAAGTAATGTTATGTTGCAGCCTTCCTGAGAATTTTAAGTTTTAGTTAACTTCTCTGTTTGTAGGCCTTGAACATGACATAATTATTAATTGAATTCTAAGTTGGTAATCCAAAAAGTTGTCCTAAAGTGATCTTGTTTATCCAGGATGGCTGTTGCTGTTACTGTGAGAGCTCTGCTATTGTTTGAGTGATTCACATTTAGAGCCTGAGCCAGTGCCTACTGAAGTCAATGGAAAGACTCCTGTTGACTTCAGTGAGCATTGGATCAGGCCGTTTGTGTGCTGGCAGAAATAAGTGAAGCTGGTGTACACATTTTGTGTAATAAAAATACAGACTGGAGATTTTAGTTTTTGGGGAAAGCTATTGTACTTGATTTAAAAATGACCTTAAATGGATGGCCATCCTCCTGGCCATCATAACGGACAATAGCTCATGGTAGGAAACTTAAATGTCTGACAATATATTGTATAGGATCATTATGGCAAGAATGAAGTATTTTTAAAATTTAAGTTAAAACGAGAGAAAAATATAAACATAGTTCAAGTCACGGTGAGGATTTTAATTATTTTTATAGAGGATAAAACAACATATATAACTTATATGCCTGATCAGTCTGGTTTTGACTGCAGCTCTGATTACTATGAAAACTTTGTTTTGATTAACAGACCCCAACAGTTCCATTGATTGTTTTATTTTGTCTTTCACATGTGCAAATGGCTTGTAAAGGGAAACAAAGCTGGAATCACATATTCTTTAAGTGTGTAGTCTGTGGGTTAAAGAAAATGTTTGTCTTTCAGACATTGTCCAAACCTAAACATATACAGATTAACATAAAAATGTATAAAACAGTCAAGGAAGAATGACCTTTTGCATTTTTTTGCCGAAAATCTAATTATTGCTTTGGCATCATTGTTATATCTACATGCATAGGCTAAAGATTTAATTTACAAAGGCCAGTGGAGTAGAAGTTCAAATCAATGATGTCCAGGGTGAAAAACACCTTTTTTTATAGGCTGCTGCTGTCTTGACAGATTTGTCATCTTCAGTTTATAGTACATGGGTCCATGCATATGTGGAACTGTCTCTTGAAATAAAAACAATTTGCCCATGAGACTTAGGCCACTAAATCCAAAAGGCATTTTTGAAAATGGGACGTAGGCTCCTAAGTAACTTCGGCCCTCCTTGCTGCTTCTGCCGGCTTCCTCTCTGCTCAGTCATTTGAGGGTAAATGCTGTTTGGAAACATGTATTTCAAGACTAATTTCTCAGTTGTTAATAAATTCTCTCGGAAGCCACCACACTCTGGACTACTTTAGGTTAAAAACTACCCTTCACCTACAATATATGTAGAATAAGACTGTATTTTAACTACTCTGTGTCTCGATAAATTGTTGCATCTGATTTATCCATGGGACAGTGTTGGTTTTCTTTGTTTTGTTTTAACAAGATTCCATGAACTTTTTTTCCATCCCTAAAAAAATAGCTGTGATATATTTAAATCAGTGTGGGATTAGTCCCAGTTGTCAAATTTGGATGCCTAAATCAGTCTCTATTTCTACATTTGGACATTTAGATTAGTGGATAGGTGAACGAATACCCAATCTGAGGTCTAAGGTTTATTTTAAGCCCACATGCAGAACTAGGTGGCCTTACATAAGCCTGGAAGTTTGAAACCTGGACTTGTTGATTACAGTCTTGGAAATAAATATCATCCCTATCAGCTACAGAAGATGCAATTACATATGGATAAAACGTAATTGGGGTAGACCAAGATATGTGATCTATTTCCAGTAATGAGATATATAATTCTGGGGCAATATTCTTTTCTCTTTGCATCTATTAGGCAGGTTCTTGGTGTAAGATGATAGTGTTGGTGCAGTAAAATCCTGCTCTAACATACCTGGTTTAGAACTTTATTGCATGCCTAGCTTTGGATACTGCAGTCATGATCAGTGTTTATTCCATTAATAGTGGTTTTACTCACTTTCAGTGTTAGATTTTCTTTCCCCTGCTGTGCAATAACCTCATTCTAGCAGAAGCACCATGTGGTATGCATGTTTATAGTGTCATTCAAGAGCACACGTCTTTGAATCCTCTGCGGCTCGGTAACTTTGCATTAGATTACAGAATCATATGCCATGACTATGTTGTGGCATTCATTGTGATGGAGATAGCAGGAGTGTGCTACTGACAGTGATTATGTTGGACTATATTATACTGTGCCAAATATGCTTCTGTAGGGGAAGCAAATTTACCTCTGGACTTTTTTCTGAATTAGTGTATAATTCCACATAGAAAAAGCATCACTGTTCATGCAACCTGCTGAGTGTCATTATAATGAGGTTTCATCACAGTGTGCATTGATATAATAGGATATAAACCTGCTTTTAACCCTTACAGTCCTTGGCCTACATTTTAAAAAGTGTCTAGTGCTTTTCGATGCCTCAATTTTTAGGTGGCCAATCTGAAACACCTTGAAGGGGCCCGGTGTTCAAAGAGCTGTGAGTACCAGGCATCTGAAAATCAGGCCTCTTTAAGGTGGGAGTCTCAAAATTAGTAAATGAAAACACAGGCCCTAGTCTTCAGCTTTTACCTCTGAACTCTCGCCCTACTGACAGGAGGCTTTCCTCCTTCCTAGTTGCTGCTCCTTTCTTCATCCCTTGAAGGAGAGATTATTTCTCACCTCCCTAGCAGTAAGATGAGGAATGGTGGTCTTGTAGTTAAAGCAGTGGACCAAGACTCAGGAGTTCTGGGTTCAATTCCCTGCTCTGTCACAGACTTCCTATGTGAATTTAGGCAAGTCATTTAATCTCTCTGCGCCTCAGCTTCCCAACTATAAAACGAGCATAATATTTTAATGATTTTGAAATTCTGAAACAATATGCACACCATAGAAAAAGCAAATAAGTTATCCACCACTCCATCGAGCACTGGAATGCTTCCTCACATTCCCCCACCACAAACAAAGAGGCTTCCTGATTCTCCATAATTCCAGCACCACTCTCCCAATCTGACTCATCTCCCTAAACTGGTTCCAGCCCCAAGGGAGCAGTCAGGAACTGGCAGCTTGCGGTGATTGGGCCACATCAAGAAAATAGGCACTGGCAATAGATTTTGGTGGAGGGAGTCAGGAGAAAACAGGATTCACTTTTCCTGAGTCATATCTTGCCATGCCTTGTAACAGCAAGAAATGATCAGCCAGTAGAGTGCCCCCTAGTGGATTGCCAAAAAAAACAGGAAATTCTCTAGTTTTTTTTACAGGTTAAAAGAAAATATGCCAGTTTCCTAAGGGTGAAAGTATATTAGATTTTGGCTGGAGAGAGGCCCAAGCTACAATGTTTGGATCCAGATGCAAACTTTCCCTAAGTTTGAGGTGCTCAGATCTAGTTTTTCCATTTTATAGCAAGGGCACCTGGGATGGTATGTTTTGGAGAGTCAGCATCATGAGCAGTCATGTTAAACTGAGTTTTATTTATTGTTATGTTCCAGGTGGGTAAACTGAGAGAGAGAATCCAGGAAGTCAAGCAAGAAAGAGAGCAGGAGCAGCACAAGCACACCGCCTACATCTCTGAACTGAAGGCTAAACTCCATGAGGAGAAAATGAAGGAACTCCAGGCTGTCAGGGAGCTGCTTATCCGGCAGCATGAGCAGGAAGTAGCTCGTATGGCAAAAATAAAAGACAGTGAAATTCAACGCTTGCAGTCTACGGTGAACGTGCTGCGGGATGGGGCAGCTGACAAAGTGAAAACTGCATTGCTAAATGAAGCCAGGGAAGAAGCTCGGAAAGCATTTGATTGTGAACGTATAAAGATGCAGCAGGAGATATTAGAGCTGAAGTCTGGTAAAAAGCAGCTTGAAGAAGCTTTGAACAATATTATGCAGGCAGATAAAATGAAGGCTGCTGATCTGCGCACGGCTTATCAGTCCCATCAAGATGAGGTTAATAGAATAAAGCGTGAATGTGAGAGGGATATCCGCAGACTGGTAAGCTTAATTAAACAATAAATATATTTCAGTTTACAGCAGCTATTAGAACATTATTGTGCTGCCCATGAAAGATATTAGAGTCCGGTTTGAAGTGGCAGATTTAATCGTTTGTTGTTTGGATAATAAACACCCTATTCTCACTTCTTTCTTTTCCTGCAGCACAGAGGAGTATTGGCTCCACCCCAATCCACTAACCACACCCCTGTCTACAGCATTACATCCTGTCACATAAAGAGAGTGGAAATACCAAACCCCTGCAGTGTGTTTCCGCTCAAGAGATCCAAGTTATTGGGTAGCTTTCTCTTCCTCTTTGCCTGAAATTCCTTTCCTTACAAGACCTTCTCTATTGAAGGATTCAAGATGTGTTCACTCTGCAGAGCAGAGGTTCCCTTTCTGTGATGGACGTGCTAGCTACTTCAGATACAGCATACGTGCTGCAACAGTCTGTCCTTGTGGGAACCACTCTGGCAGAGTGAAAAGAATAGTCCCTTCTGCTTCCAAAGTATTGTCCATATCACTCACTTCTTGAAGTAACAAGGATTGTTGCCCCTTGTCTCTTGTTCTTGATACTCCTTTAAAGGGTAGAGGTGTTAGTGTGGGCCCAGGTTAACAGAGCTTTTCCTCCGTCATAAAGTTCACCATAGGCAGTGGCCTTCCCCTTATGAACAAAACAGAAGTAAAGTAATGTATCCAATCGTACTGATCCAAACCACTACATTTTACACTAGTGATACTGCAACGTTTGGGCAAATTACGACACAAAGTAGACTTACAGTAATATATAATGAAAAGGCCGTTCTATTTGGCATCATGATATTTTCCATGTATGGAGTGTTGAGATTTGGTTACTAAAATTAATTAACTTTCAGTATGATAATAAGAATGCAAATACCATGCAAGATAAATTATAAAAGAGGAATAGTCTCTCCTTTAATGTTAAGGAAATTCTTTATTTCATCTTGTGTCAAGACCAGAATTTGAATGGAGTACAAAACAAGGACAGGTTAGTCATTCTATGCACACACAGACATGCTCTCTCCCACTCCTTTAGATAAATGATGGCAATGACAAGCTACAGACAAATAACATTTTATGGTAGTAATTGCAGTCTAAGGCAATAAAGCTTATAATGCAGTTACTTTGTCCCTTAAGTAAATTGGTTATTGACAGGCTATTGGGCGCTACAACTTGCTAAGAATGCTGTAAAGATTGTCAGGCCTCAGACTTTAGTGAGCATAATTACCCTTTCATACTTCTTTCCCAGTCCCTAAAAATCTGGTAATCCTAAAAACAGTTCTACAAAGTACAGGAGTTGAAATCCAAATTATTCTAAGTGATCACATGGCATAGAACATGGAACTCTGCATACTCTGTCTCCATGAGAACACAAGGTTCTTGTTGATTTCTGTATCCTTGCTTGGGAGAAAGCAGATAAATAGTGCTAGGGGAGGGAGGACACAGCACATACTGCATGTGCACACTCCCTCAGAATAAAACAATTTTACATCTAACATCCTTGGCAGTGTCCTTTTTTTATTATTTGAAGATCAAGTTTTAAATAGGCAGAATAGTAATAGAACAGAAGCAAAGTCAGTGCTTCTGCAAGATTGTCTGAACAGTGAGGATCTGACAATGATTATAGAAATGGCAAAAGCCTGCAACATTACTCATATGTATCATTTGTAACATAACCAAAGTAAGCCCCACCCACAACTGATGGAGCCTCTTGGTCTTCTCTGAGTGAGAACTATAAGACACCCTTCCAGCCTCATGGTAGTTAAGATTCTGCAAACAGAATACCTAGTCCATCTTGCTCAGGTTGCCAACAACTGAAAACATCTTGTTATTGAATTACAATTAGGCCAGAATTTTTACTAGCACAAAATCAGTTGGATAAGCTCCATTCAAGTATACAAACAAGACAAAACAGAATTAGTGGCCTTTCTTAAATACTTGGCAGAGTCTCAACATATGAAATCGGTTAGTTCTTCTGAATGGGGTTAGTTCCATAGTCTTGCTTCAGTTTTTAGTTTAAATAGCAGCTCGTGGTTGGTGGTGAATTTTTTTTTTCTTTTCATTGTAATACTTCCTCCTAACTGTGGAGACACCCCAAATGCCTTTCCCTTTTTCCATTTGTCAAAAAAGAATGTTTGCCTGCTTTTCCAGTGAAGGTCATCAATCTGATTTGGGTGTGGGAGGATATTTCATTTATTTCCCTTTTTCTGCACAAGCATCAATAACGTCAGCACAAGTCTGAAAATGAGATTCAATTTGTGCACTGTCTGCTTTCATGTCTTGCTGTTTAGCAACAGTACAGAACACTGCACTCTAATAAGGCTCACCCTCTGCCTTAGAGCCAGGACTGGCCTGAGAGTAAAGGATCAAACTCAGGATTCAACAGGGCCGCTCAGATGGGTGGGGGGCAAGTGGGGCAATTTGCCTCAGGCCCCGGGCCCCGCAGGGACCCCCACGAGAATATAATATTCTATAGTATTGCAACTTTTTTTTTTATGGAAGGGGCCCTCAAAATTGCTTTGCCCCCTGAATCTTCTGGGCGGCCCTGGGATTCAAAATCTGACTGCCTTATAGTCATTTAAATGTAACAAGGTTCTGGGCAAATACATGCTTTATCTTGATGAGGGTTTTCTCGTATATGGTAAAAAGCTAGTCTCTCCATAGTTATTGCTGAGGCTCACTTCCAGTTTTCAAGACTGATTTTTGACACCCTCAAGTAATTTCAGTCCAAGCATTTGGCCTCCCTTGTTTGCAACCAGGAAAACTAATATGAAAGAAGATAAGACAATATCCACCCATTATCTGTCGATCATATTGGCTATTATCTGAAAACAAGCAGACTGTACATACAATAAAATTAAGTTATATTCATTTTTTATTGAAGGTGTGGACCTTGCAAGCTGAAATGAAAATGAACTTTGAAAACTGGATAATGAGCTTTCATATATGTACAGATATTATTAAAATTAAATTCTTCACATAAGCAATGCTTCTGTAGACTCCTACTGACCTATAAAAAGTACAATGATAAAGTAATATTTAAAAATAAATTCTGTATAAAATTTTTGCTCATATATCAGTGTTATTCATGTACACCTTTACCCTGATATAACGCTGTCCTCGGGAGCCAAAAAATCTTACCGCGTTATAGGTGAAACTGCGTTATATCGAACTTGCTTTGATCCGCCGGAGTGCGCAGCCCCACCCCCCCGTAGCGCTGTTTATCGCTTTATATCCGAATTCGTGTTATATCGGGTCACGTTATATCGGGGTACAGGTGTAACTGATTTCAGACAGGAGCAATAGAAATGTTTTCATTATTTAAAAAAAAATTCCTATGGAATCTGTTTTTAAAAAGCAGACATTCTCTTGCAAAATGTGGAATCCAAAAACTGCAGCTCATGTTAGCTAATGTATGAGAACCTGAAAATGAATTTTACCAGAACAAACTAGAGAGATGAAACTGGAAAGTTTTTTCATTGCCCTAGCAGAGAGAAATACAATGAGGAGACAACATGAATAGTAATACGAAAATTAGCTGCAATGTATGTATTTTAAAAAATGTTACCTAATACTGTATTATATCCCTAGTCTAAATTATCTAATATATCTAAGTACTTATATTTCCCCAGTCACCGTAGAATGTGAACAACATCCAAATGGTTAAAATTAGAAATAATAATGTTTATACATAACTCAACTATCAAACATCTTTAGTAAAGTGAAAAATACAAGCTGCCTTCTCTGGAACTGTAGACTATAATTTTCAATCAGATGTGCACAAAGCCACGTTTGCACTTTTGTGTATATGTAGCTTCAATGTGGAAATCCTCTGAATTGTAGTTGCAAATCAGGGTTGTGCAGGCATGCACGCACCTACATGCATAACCCCAGTGTGTGTGTGTGTGCGCATTGGAAGTTTTGCATATCTAAGTTAAAGCAAAAGTATCCGTGTAGTTTTGCACATGCCTGTTCGAAAATGTCAGTCCATGCTGAAAATCAAAAGGTGCCCTTTACCAGCGTTGACCTTTGGATATTGACCTGATCTTGGGAGGTACATACCTGAGAATAAATGGTAATCTATATGTCAGACTAAATTAAGCTGCTTAAGAAACACTATAATGAAAGCAGAGGAATAAAATAAAACAAAATAGGCTTTACAATAAGCTTAATTAAGGCCCAGTATGTTATAATGGTTATCATGAGGCTTAGCAAGGACTAGCAGTTAGCATAAATTAGTATAAATATTTGATCTAATGTCATAAGGTTTGTAGGAGCTTTTGCAATATGTAGCTTTTGATAAACAAGTACTACTCAGAAAGACGAAACAACAGATTTGGTGGGATTTTAGTATGTGTAATCATGAATTTAACCTCACTGATACACTAGAAATATTGGGAAAGGTATTTATGCACATGCCTGGTGTCAACAATTGGAACCCCAGTTATGGTTTCCCAGACAGCCGTACATGGACTAAAGGCCAGAAAACAATCTAAACATGATCCCCAGACATGCGTGGTCAGGAAAAGGGGATATAAAATATGGTGTTTGGTTAACCTTTAGTTGGGACATCAGGGATGACAGAATGGCAGAAGTCTTAGTACTGTCAAGCCCACTCATACTGCTCTCCACATACTGTTCTTCCCCCTTTTCTCTTCTAAGGGTGTCCATAAGGCTGTGAGTATGCACAGCATAGGGGGTTGTTTGGTTATCTTTATCTTGCTTTAATATATTTTTCTATGAGTTCTATTTTACTTGTATATTTTAAGTACTAAATAAAGTTCTCATGTTTCTGTGCAATTCACCAACCTCATCTCTGATAATAAATGTATGTAGCTGCCTGAGTAAAGAACCTGTTATTAGTGACTTGTGTAATTTGCACCCGACATTTATCAAAAGCTACACCAGAGAGAAGTCCACCAGCCTATTTAGTTTCCAGATTGTGCTCTGTATTAACAGCCACATTTCTAAGCAGTTTTTCC